TTCCCATTAATGGTAATGTTTAATATATATTGTGTTCAACTTCTTAACTTTTTTTACTCATTTTTCAATCCGATAAAAATGCAATTGACATTCAACTAAAAATAAATATCATCATAATGAATATGCCCATTCCTTATACTTGAATTGAATGCTCATTCTTGCCAATGATCCTTGCCTCAAGTATTATATTTTAACCAAAAAAAAGCGTCATTTTTATTTTTTTTGGCTTTTTAACTGTTTTGTAATATATATTATCAAATTTAACGAGTTATAATCCACAAAACGATGGATAATGGTTACTTATCACCAAATAATGGTATTAACACACAGTCTGAAAGTGAGCTTTCATCAACGTCAGTCGTCGGTTCAACAGATAAAACTGCCGCACAACAAATTACGATACATTCGACTGGTGGATTCTTACTTTTCTTTAGGCAATTATGGATTATGATTCGGAGAAATTTTATATTACAAGTTAGTAAAGACTTTATTATTTCTTAATTATCTCTAACAATGTAATGAAAATTTTAAAATTTTTCTTCATAGAAACGATATTATAAATCGACACTCTCTCAAATTTTAATCGGCCCAATAATATTTTTGCTACTTTTATACATATTACAACAAGCTGACAATAATCAAATATTAAAGTCAAATCTACACCCAACGGCTTATCCCCTGCTTGGAGTTCAACCTTGTCAAGTAATTATTAATTTTTTAATTAAAGATTTCAAAGCAATTTAAATGGATAAATTATAACATTCTCAATTAATAGGGACGAACAGCATCTGACCCATGTATCAATTTGATGTATACACCAGATGACCAAACATCACGTACGATAATGCAAGCTTTTGCAGATAACAATTTCAAACGGACTGGATACAAATTAAACATCGAAACTCCAATCACTAGCCTTGACTTTATACCAACTTCCAAGCTTGGAATTGTTCCCGTTACTAATGCTGACTTCATTTACAATTACACTTTAAATCATCCAAATGTAACAATGTTTGGTATTGAGTTCAGTACTGTTCAAGGCCCTCCTGTGAATTATAGATATCAGGTTTGGTTTAACAGCACTCTTATGGCAAATAGTTCTGATGTGTTTGGTGAACAAGTACTTGCTTTACAACGTGGAATTGATGAAGCTATCGGTATATATTTTTATATTTTCTATATTATTAATGTCTTTATTCTTTTCATTCATTATTTTTGCATTTTCCTAAATAGTTACTTTCGCTAGTAACGATCCTCAAAATCCAGCGACATTTGACATTAAACTTAAGGATTGGCCTAAAGTTCCTCCTTCTCAACTTAGTGATCAAATCGTAACATCTTTTGGTGCTGTATTTTTCTTTTGTGCTGAAATGATCATTTTCATTTCTGTTCTAAACACAATTGTTACTGAAAAAGAACAAAAGTTAGTAGATAGTTTGGTGATGATGGGTTTGAAAACTGAAGTTTATTGGTTAAGCTATTTCATTTCTAATGCTTGGTTAGTGGTCATTTGTTCGTTGATAACCTGCACTTTTGGGCTTGCTTTTCAATTTTTTGTCTTTAAAAATGCAAACTTTGCTGTTCTATTCATTACATTTATTCTTTTTGGTCTTGCTATGGTCTCTTTTGCATTCTTTATCACTACATTTTGTCGTCGTGCTCGTGTTGCTGTACTTGTTGGTATATTCATATTTATTATTGGTCTTATTTTCCAATCTTTTGTATTCTCTAATTCATTTGTGGGTTACATTTGGTGGAGTCAATCTGTTGATAAAATAGGCTGGATTATTCTTATGTTCTTACCATTTTTCAATTTTGGAAAACTTTATTTGGATTTATCTATGTTGACTTCTGGAAAACTTGATCGATTAACTCAAACTGTTGTCCCTGGACCAGGATTTTCCTGGAATGATCTTTATAATACGATTCCTGATACTTATCTTCCAACTTATAGTGATTCTAATATCAGACCTTCTGTACCTCCTCCAATTCAAAGTTGGTATTTCTTGTTGATGAATATAGGTTTTTATTGTATTTTTACATGGTATTTGGACAAAATCATTCCTGACGAATTTGGAAATTATAAGAATCCATTTTTCTTTTTGACACCTGGTTATTACGGAATTAAATTCAAAAAAACGTTTGATTTGCAAGCATGGATAAATCGTGCACAAAAAGCTAGCATTGGTAAACATACTGAAGAAGATGAGGACGTCGCTCGTGAACGTATTCTAGCGTTTGATTCGACTCATGAATGTGTTGTTAGAATTTGCAATCTCAGCAAAATTTATCGAAAAAATTTATTGATTAAAAGTGTATTTGATAAGATTGCAGTTAATGATTTGTGCTTGACTTTGAAGGAAGGAAAATGTCTTGCTTTATTAGGACAGAATGGTGCAGGTAAAAGTACATCAATGAACATCCTATCCGGGCTAACTCCTGCAACAAATGGTGACGCATTGTTATACGGATATAGCGTTCGAGATGATATGAGCAAAATTCGTAAAATCATGGGAGTGTGCCCTCAACATGATATTCTTTTTAACGATCTGACGGCGAAAGAGCATATTGAACTTTATGCAGGTATTAAAAATATACCTTCCGCTGAAATTGCGAAATTAGTCGAGGAACGGTTAGCTGCTGTACGTCTCACTAAGGTTGCTGATAAACCGGCCGGTTCTTATAGTGGTGGTATGAAGCGTCGTCTTAGTATGGTAATTTCTACCATTGGTGATCCTAAAATCATTTTCATGGATGAACCTACGACCGGAATGGATCCAGTTAATAGACGTCATGTATGGAGTTTTATTGAAAAGTTTAAACAAGGAAGGATTATTATTTTAACAACTCATTCTATGGAAGAAGCAGATGTACTAGGTGATCGAATTTGTGTGATGGCTCATGGTCGTTTATGTGCTCTTGGAAATTCTATGCGCATTAAAAATAAATTTGGTGCCGGTTATCGTGTATCTCTTGTCACTCACCCTAATGATTCACAACGTCTTAAGGAATTGGTTGAAGCTCAAGTACCTGATGCTAAATTGGAAGATGATTCAGCTGGTTCTCTTATCTATGAACTTCCTTTATCTGCCTTACCAGCTTTACCATCATTCATTCAATGGTTGGAGGAAAATGAGGAGATGAGCAATAGCGAACCAGGAAAGAAACTTGTTAAAGCTTGGGGTGTAAGTCAAAAGAGTTTAGAAGAAGCCTTTTTAAGATTGTGAGTATCCCTAGATTTAGAAGCTTTGTTTTGTATTTACGGAAATTCTTACAGATCTATTTATTACAGAATTCGTGATGCTAATTCCGACGGCAATACCGGTTTAAGACTACGTACTACTAAAAATAAAAGTAACAATCAATCTTAGTGCTACTGGTACTCTTTGGGAAGATAGATTTTTAAACGATTATAGACTTTAAAAAGGACAAATTTATAAGAATAGTGAATAGTTGGCAAGAATTCTTTTTGGATAAATTTAAAAAAATGGGTTTAAAAAAAGGCTTTTTATTAGTTATTTAATTATTTCATTTTAAAAACCATAATGCAATGATATTGTCAGGATTACTTCTACAAATTTTGTTATACATTTTTCTATATTATACAGTATCTTTAATATCAAACTTTCTATTGTAAAATAAATTTGTTAGACAGTACTTTTTCAACGTCCATAATCCGTTTATACCTTGTATCTAAATTGCAAGACTAATATAATGAAAGGAAAAGAATTATATTTAAAACTTGAATAATTAAAATTGAGGTGAGATAATTTAATCTTGTAAACGATAAATAGCATTTATATAGTTATTTACCGTATTTTCGCATGCGCGTTATTTTGTGAAAATATGTAAATATTAATAATGTGGGGTGAGTCAGTAGAAATCAAGCAATTGTTTTTATTGAATTTTTTTAAAACTTTAATCACTAGTAACTTAACAAAAAACTTAATCAAATTTAATAAAAAATTTTTTAAATAAATTTTATAAGTTTGTAGAATTTGTTTAAAAAAATTTATTAAATTTGATTAAGTTTTTGTTGAGTTTTGTCATTTAAAGTTTTAAAAAAATTTACTTAGAAAAAAATTTGCCTGACTCAACCCCATGTGCCTTATTAAACCAGTGCCAATGACAGTGATAGTGCAGATCACTAATAATTTGCTATTGTAAATAGTAAAAACACCTAAAATTCAAATGGTAATATTTCTTAAACAGTAAATACGCACAAGCAAAATTTTATTAGATTTCTTTTAATGCGCTCTTGAAGTAACAAGGATCATATGGGGTCTTTGCCTTGAAAATCACCTTCCGACATTTCCGATCGGGTTAATTCGGACAAAAATAAACCCGAG